AGGGCTCGAACCTGTGACCCTCTGATTAAAAGTCAGATGCTCTACCAACTGAGCTAAGCGCCCTTAATAAGTGGCACACAATAATCATAAGGGGCAGAGTTGGTCAACTTTTTTTGCAAGACTTAAGCAATTTAAGCGATATAATGGCTTTTTTAAAAATGAAAATCACTGTAATGATTCAAAAATTTACAGTTCCTTCGGAACAAGAAGGACAAAGACTTGAACGATGGTTAAAGAAGGTTCTTGAAGGTGTTCCTTACTCCCTTATTCAAAAGTGGCTACGTTTAAAACGTATTCGGGACTTGGAGGGAAAGCCTTTAAAGGTGGACTTGCGTCTTAAAGGAGGGCAAACGATCTGTGTTCCTGCTGTAGAACAATCTAAAAAAAATGTATCAAAGCAGAGAGGCTCTCCTTTAGGGCACTCTCAAAAAAAGAAGCTCGCAGAGAATTTTCAACACGCTATCGTGGCGCAGGAAAAGGATTTTCTGATTATCTCAAAGCCGCAGGGCATTGCCACTCAAGGAGGAACAGGGTAAAAAATATCTTTGGATACATGGGGACAAACCTGGGCAGAGGTTTTTAATAAACCCCGGCCTTTAATTGTGCATCGGTTGGATAAAGATACGAGTGGTGTGTTTCTTATGGCTTTAAGTCGAGAGGCGGCACAGCATTTTTCTGACTAACTTCGAGAACATACGTTTCAGAAAGAATATTGGGCTCTTGTTGCGGATATTCCTAAAAAATCTTCTGGAAAAATCAGTTTCTCTTTGGAGAAAGCTAAAACAGATCGGGGAGAGAGAATCATCGTCGATCCGCAAGGGAAAGAAGCTTTGAGCCATTATAAAATTGTTCAAAGGTTGCCAGAAGTGAAAGTGTCGTGGTTATCCCTTATGCCAATTACAGGTCGTATGCATCAATTACGTGTTCATTGTGCTGCTTCAGGTTTTCCAATTATTGGAGATTGGAAATATGGTGGAGAGAAAGCACAACCCTTTTCTGAAAAAAACGTTTGCATCTTCACAGTTATCGTTTGTCTTTTATGGATCTTCAGGGAAAAAATAGACAGTATTGCGTGCCGCTTTCAGAACACATGGCTAAAACATGGGAATTTTTAGGGTTAAAGCCCTAAAAATTTTTCTGGAGTCGCAATTTAAAACTTTATCCCCTATGATCAATGCAAAGTTTAGGAGAGGAACTTTGCGAGGATGGCATGGGAGACCCAATTCAAACCCTTCAAGATTATGTTAAAAGGTCGCACCAAGGTGGAGGAAAAAAGAGGCTAGAAGCCCAACATAAGAAGGGAAAACTTTCAGCTCGGGAACGTTTGAAGGCGCTTTTTGATCCTGGCACTTTTGAAGAGTGGGACGCCTTCGTCACGCACCGTTGTTCAGATTTCGGTTTAGAGAAAGAACACCCATTGGGAGATGGCGTCATCACAGGATGTGCTCAAATTAATGGTCAGCTGTGTTTTGCCTTTTCACAGGATTTTACAGTTTTTGGTGGTTCTTTAGGTGAAATTCACGCAAAGAAAATCTGCAAAATTATGGATCAGGCTTTACATGTTGGAGCCCCTGTTATTGGGCTCAATGATTCTGGGGGCGCCAGAATTCAAGAAGGGATTGATGCTCTTGCAGGATATGCAGAAGTTTTTCAGCGCAATGTTCTGGCTTCTGGCGTTATTCCGCAAATTTCTTTAGTGATGGGGCC